ATTTCCCACCTCATGGGAAATCTAAGAACTAGAAAACTGAGAGCGATTGTCACTTGGGCAAGTTCATTTTACAGTTAACCCATTACGCACACACACACACACAGTAGCCATCACCCCAATGCCTTTTGTATACATGCACCATTCACAGCATCCACTGTTGCAATTTTGACCTTCTAAAAGAAATGTCTGTATCATTCGCTGCCATGCCTCTACAGGAAAGTAACAGAGTTAAGTAGCTTCTTCAAAGAGGCATAGATTCCTTAAATTCTAATTAGCACGTTAAGAAATTCAGCCTAACAAATTTTTAAAAATCAGTATCGTTTTAATGAAAAGAAGAAAAACATGGCACAACAAACAGACATAAGCAATAGCTAAATAATTGGGATTGAAAGTAAAAAAACACTTAAAGCAGAACTTAACTGTATCTGCAAACTGGTGTTGTGTAATTAATTTTTAATAGTAAAAGTAAACTCATCCACAGGGCCGTAGCTAGACTATTTTGCACCCTAGGCATGACCAGCAACTCCCCCCCCCCCCCCCCCCAAAAAAAAAAAAATCACCTCCTTCCCAACATTAGCTCTGTGTGGAGATTGACTGGGGAGCTGGGAGGAAGTGATGTTGCGTGCAGCACAGATTTCGTGACACCTCATTGGCTGGATACCTCTTCTTCACGGATTGGCTGAAGTTTGCAGGAGACGGCGTCATCTTCAGCTAACATCATCCAATCCTGTCTAAGGACAGTGAGACCAGGACACAGAAGTGACATTTTACATGTTGCTTCCAGGTCATTAGCAAGAAGGGGAGAAGTGTTCACTGATCTCCCTCCTTTCTACCAGTGGTACTTACCATGCAGGTCCCAGGTTAGCTGATGGGAGCGTGGAGCCTAGGAAGCATGGCAGGGCACGTGGGAGGTGTGGAAGCGATCTGGAAGCTGCACAGCTATCATTTCCTCCTAACAGTCAGCCTGTCATTTTACACACACTCAAAAAGATGCTTCCTATTAGTTCCTATTTACACATGTGTTTGAAGGACATTAAAAATGTGCGTCTGGGCCAAACTTTTATCATTGCCTCTGCTTTGTACCAGGTTCCCATTGCTGCCTGTGCCCTCGGTCACCTCTCTGTTGAATCACCTCCTGCCGAGCCTCACCTTCTGCACCTATAAGCGGAGGAAAGGATAATCACTCCGCCAGTGAAAAGCTGTGAGCAGCCGCAGCCGGCCACCACTGAGCAGCATAGCAAAACGCACTGCAGCTTTAGCCGTTAAAAAAAAGAGTCCCTCTCTGCTCCTCGCCTCATGAGCCCTACTGATGAACTGATAGGGCCCAGGAAAATATAATTAATGTTAATTCAGAGCAGGCTGTACTGCTCTATTGGTGGCCCTGGCCATGGGCAAAAATATTTAGACAGTATAAAGGTGAATAAAGCACCTGGACTGGATGGCATACACCCACGGGTCCTTAAAGAATTGAGCTCTGTCATTTCAAAGCCATTGTTTCTAATGTTTAGGGACTCTTTAATGACTGGCATAGTACCACTAGCTTGGCGTAAGGCCAATGTGGGGCCAATATTTAAAAAGGGGTCAAAATCTTTGCCAAGAAATTATAGACCTGTTAGTTTAACCCCTTGGCGCTGGCACCTCCCGGCCCTTTAAGGGTTTCAGTAGCCGGGAGACGGGGCGGGGTTTTAGGGACATGTGACTGCCGTGATTAGCCGTCACTGTGGTCACATGATCGGGAAAGGTCCCGAATGAAAGAGGAGATCAGGACCTTTCCGTGAATACCAGACATGTGTGCTGGGAGCATGCAGGGTGCGTGCTGTCATCACATATGTTTTTCTTAATTGAACAAAAATGTGCAGCTGCTCGGCATCTAGGTCCAGACGCTGAAAGGCCACACATTTGCATGTGGCCGGCGTAAAAGAAGTTAACATCTCTAGTTAATATGTGTATGTATGAATGTAAGTTAGGGACCTTAGATTGTATGCCCCTTGAGGGTTAGGGACTGATGTGAATGTACAATATATATGTAAAGCACTGCGTAAATTGAAGGCGCTATATAAGTACCTGAAATAAATAAAAAAATAGTTGGGAAGATACTGGAGAGTTTAATAAAAGATCACATAGATGAGTTCTTGCTGGAAAAAATATTTTAAGCAACAGACAGCATGGATTCATGAAAGACAGAAGTTGTCAAACAAATCTGATTTCTTTTTATGAGGAGGTGAGCAAAATCTTGGACAGAGGGGTGGCGGTGGACGTGGTATACTTGGACAGAGGGGTGGCGGTGGACGTGGTATACTTGGACAGAGGGGTGGCGGTGGACGTGGTATACTTGGACAGAGGGGTGGCGGTGGACGTAGTATACTTGGACAGAGGGGTGGCGGTGGACGTAGTATACTTGGACAGAGGGGTGGCGGTGGACGTGGTATACTTGGATTTTGCAAAAGCGTTTGACACAGTTCCCCACACATGGCTAATGTGTAAGGTAAAGTCTACAGGCTTGGAAAAATCCGTATGTAAATGGATAGAAAACTGTCTAAAAGATCGTATTCAGAGAATAGTGGTTAATGATTCATACTCTGAATGGTCTAGGGTTGTCAGTGGTGTACCCCAAGGTTCAGTGTTGGGACCCTAACTTTTTAATATATTTTATAAACAATATAGGGTCTGAGATTACAAATCCCATTTCAGTCTTTGCAGATGACACCAAGCTGTGCAGTGGAATAACGTCCTTACAGGATGTCTCCAATTTACAAGCCGACCTCAATGCACTGTTTAATTGGGCAACTATGTGGCAAATGAGGTTTAATGTTGATAAATGTAAGGTTATGCACTTGGGGGGCTAAGAATATGCATGTATCATACATACTGGGGGGGGTACAACTGGGGGAATCAATGGTGGAGAACGATCTGGGAGTTCTGGTAGATCACAAGGTTAATGCCATGCCAAGCTGCGGTTTCTAAAGCAAGCAAAATGCTCTTGTATTAAAAGAGGTATAGACTCCAGAGAGAGAGATATCATATTACCCCTGTACAAATCATTAGTAAGACCTCATCTGGAATATGCAGTTCAGTTTTTGGGCACCAATTCACAAAAAGAACATTGGGGAACTGGAGAAAGTACAGGGAAGGGCAACCAAACTGATATGAGGCATGGAGGAGCTCAGCTATGAGGGAAGATTAGAGGAACTGAATTTATTCTCTCTTGAGAAGAGGAGATTAAGGGGGGATATGATCAACATGTATAAATACATCAGTGATTTATAAAGTGAACTCGGTGTAGAGTTATTCACCCTGAGGTCATCACAGAGGACAAGGGGGCAGTGCTCCCTAGGCGGCTGCCTAGTTGGTCTAGTGATAGCACCAGCCCTGCTCACCAATCTATTCATGTCTCCATGCTTTGTTTTGTTGAGAAATCACTTTGAAAATACATCTTATAGCATTTCTAGCTGTCTTGAATAAGAGCAGATGATTCATGTAGCATTTATTTTCTGGAATCCATCTGCGCTTAGCTCGGGGTATGCAGGCAAGAGGGTGTGCTTAGCTAAGAAAGACCCTCCTCTGCTCCTCCAGATGAAAGAAAAAATTGCCCATGAAGACTTAAGATGTATGGCAACATTTTGGTCAATGCCAGGAACCAGAAAGCAAATGAAGAAATGTAAAAAAAAAAAGTTTAAAACAAGTAAATATAATATACAGTTTAGTAAGACTAGTAGCATAAGAATTCAAAATAGCTAATTTTCTGGAGAGAGTTAATGTCTCTTTAAGTAATGCTCACTTGGTCTTAATTTCCAGGTAGATTTTGATTTGCTTGCAGAATAAGTGAAAACTGATATAACAAAGTCACTGTTCTTATAAATGACTTCCATAGTTTTTATAATAAACAAGCTACAGCAACAGCATTTTGTTGTCCATGGAGAGTGTGTCACAGATTTAATTATACCCAATCAAAGGATCTACGGGGTGTTTCAATAGGTGTGCTGGCGTTGTTTATTATGTTCAGCAGAAACACCCTTAATGCCCATTCTTCTAAATATCTCTATATTTCCATTTGACAAGGTTTTACAATCCAAGAGCCAACAGATTATTTAACAGATTTAAATTATAAATTGTTAGAGACCAAATATTATATGGATCTCATGTAGATCTCACATAGAAGATCTCATGTTTTTCTTTAGCCTTCTGTACTTTGTACTATACAGTAGGTGTGTTTGGTGTCTAATTGATTCGCATCCTCCTCATACATCAACATAACCACCTTTTTATGAAGGTACTTCCAACACCACCGGAGTTCTTGAACATGAACCAGAGTTAAGATCTTTAAATGAATGGAAGTTCAGTTTCAGTTGAAAACCAAGACTTGCAGATGTGTATTGCTTGCTAGAAGATTTTTGACAGGCTATATACAACATGATTTTATTAAGAGTTTTTTGAAGATTCTGCTAAAATAGGTATTATAACACCTCTGCATTTCATCTTTTTCTTTTTTTTTGTCATAATGTGTCTTAAAGTGTTACTAAACCCAGGACCCCTCATTCACTATATCTGGTCTCCCACAGTACACAGAACATGGAAACGCAATTATTTTAGTAAACATAAACTGCTAAATACCTTTTCTCATCAGCAGTTAGAGCAGTCTTGTGACTTCAGCAGAGCACTGGTTAAAGCTTGTAGGAGGAGTTTTCTTTCTGCTCTAGGAGGATGCAAAACCCTAACCTCTGTCTGGAAAGTGCTGATTGGTCCTGTGCTGATCACATGCACTCTCCCAAGAAAAAAACCTCTCTAGCAATACACATTAAACTGAGCATGTGCATGTGGCTATGAGTTCAGCCTGTCTTATCAGGTGGACATCTGATCAAGAGGAGGGGCAGAAAAAACAGGATGAAATTGCCTTTTTACACAATGCAGAGGATTAACCCCTTAGATTCCACAGTGAGTATGACAAGCATGCTTTCTGCATATACAGACTGATTTTACTGTTGTGGGTTTAGTAACACTTTAAAGTGAAGTCAGTCTGTATATGCAGTAAAGCATATTCACTGTGGAACCTGAGGGTTAATCCTCCGCATTGTGTAAAAAGGCTGTTTGATCCTATCCTCTCTGATCCTCACCTTCTTCTGTCCCCAATCCATCTGCTGATAGTACAGAGCTATAGGAGTCACTCTGCGCATGCTCAATTTAGTGTGTATTGCTAGAGATTTTTTTTTTTCTTTGGGAGAGTGCATGTGATCAGCACAGGGCTGATCACTACTGTACAGATAGAGGGTCACTGGTTATGCAACCTCATAGGACAGTCGGGGAGAATGAAAACTCCTCCTACAAGCTTTGACCAGTGCTTTGCTGGACACTGATAGAAGTCACAAGACTGCTATATGCTGCTGATGAGAAAAGGTATTTAGCAGTTTATATTTACTACAATAAATGCATTTCAATGTAGTTTGTACTGTGGGAGACCACAAATAGTGAATGCAGGGTCCTGGGTTTAGTAACACTTTAGCCTTGTTGTGTTCTGCAAAAAGGCTTTATTAACTGTGTCACTTTCACTAGCTGCCCACCACAGACATGACATTTAAATCTGATAATCTTTATTACCAACTTGTAAATGTTGGAGAAATTAGGACAGCACGGTGTTCAGTATTACTCCTCCATTATTCCATTCTCCCCACACAGTTTTGGGGTTTGTCAGACCTCATTATGTCACACCACCTGCAAAGAATTTATACTTACCTTTTGCACTGCTGATCTATTCTGTATTGTAAACATACAGTTGTCTGAAGAATCTTCAGTAAGCAACAAAATTCCAGGTGTATCAGATGCTTGGTTCTCCCACTGGGATCAGCAGTTTGATCCACTAGCCCCTACATCACTACTGTGTACTGAGGCACTGGGAAGAACCACAATATGCAGTGAAGGAAAAGAAATCTGACATTCCATTTTGGATTCTGAATTTTCTTAGAGCAGAGATTTACTGAATATCATTTTTTTTTTGCCCTGATATACACTTTAAATGCAGTAGAGGAAAGTTAGGGCACCAGCCTGGCTGTACTATGTGGCAGCACTGTACAAATCTCAGGACTGGAGGAACATAAATACAACTCCTTTGGCAAGTGAAGCAGCACCCATAATTGTACTTCAACTTTGTATTTATCTGTTTGACTGGAGGAGTTCAGCGTTAATTGGCTGTTCATGGACACTGTCACACATTTTTGCTTGCTATGAGTCTCTCTGTGCATACAGGCCACAATTAAATAAGTATTCTAAAAACATACGCATTGATTGCCAAGACATGGCTTATTTTTATCCTATGAGTGGGAACAAAATAGAACCTGAACGAAAAACAGCTGGCACAGGCACAATCAGTTAAATCAAGTTGTCCATTCTTGTCTTTTCTCCTTTAATTATCAAATATGTCATTAATTTAAAAGGAGCTCTCATCCTCTCATTATTTAGCGCACACTTTAATGTCATTAAAATCTTCCAAAGGACACAATTTCTCTAAGAGCCTTATCTCTGCATCACTAATGGATAGCTTTTGGCTTGGCTCCCTGTGAAGGGAAAGCAAGCAGTTGTTTACCGGGAATCTAGGAGTACATTACAAAGGGAATTAGCTCTGAGCTGTTAGTCTGATTAATGCACTTAACTATTCTTGACCATCCCCTCCTTCTCTTGGTAGATAATGCATGGGGATCAGCTGTGAATGGAAAGGATGTGGGGTCAGACTCAGGAGGCAATGGATACAAGCCTTGCTGGGTAGACTGACCTGTGTGCAGGCTTCATGATTTGCAAGGAAAATAACGAATTTGAAACCATTTCCTGGACTTGAGCTATCGCTGGCAATTATGACACATTCCATTTGGAAGCCTGCTGAGTTTTAGACAGATTTCTCTTTAAAAAATAAGTAAAGTTAAACACACATATATAAGAAGGGAAGATAAAAGCAGTATGGGATAAATTTGGTTTTGAAGAAAATAACAGCTGTGTTATTCACATCAATGATAATAAAATATTCAGCTGTAACAAATAAACACACTAAACCCTGGCACTGAATATTACAGTTATTATTCCAATGTGAAAATTGGAAAGATGTCCCCAAACTGCAATATTACTTGGCGGAGCAATATACTTCTATATATACAGTCAGGTCCATAAATATTGGGACATGGACACACAATTCTAACATTTTTGGCTCTATATACACCACCACAATGGATTTGAAATGAAACGAACAAGATGTGCTTTAACTGCAGACTGTCAGCTTTAATTTGAGGGTATATACATCCAAATCAGGTGAACGGTGTAGGAATTACAACACTTTGCATATGTGCCTCCCACTTGTTAAGGGACAAAAAGTAATGGGACAGAATAATAATCATAAATCAAACTTTCACTTTTTAATACTTGGTTGCAAATCCTTTGAAGTCAATTACAGCCTGAAGTCTGGAACGCATAGACATCACCAGACGCTGGGTTTCATCCCTGGTGATGCTCTTCCAGGCCTCTACTGCAACGGTCTTCAGTTCCTGATTGTTCTTGGGGCATTTTCCCTTCAGTTTTGTCTTCAGCAAGTGAAATGCATGCTCAATCGGATTCAGGTCAGGTGATTAACTTGGTCATTGCATAACATTCCACTTCTTTTCCTTAAAAAACTCTTTGGTTGCTTTTGCAGTATGCTTTGGGTCATTGTCCATCTGCACTGTGAAGCGGCGTCCAATGAGTTGTGAAGCATTTGGCTGAATATGAGCAGATAATATTGCCCGAAACACTTCAGAATTCATCCTGCTGCTTTTGTCAGCAGTCACATCATCAATAAATACAAGAGAACCAGTTCCATTGGCAGCCATACATGCCCACGCCATGACACTACCACCACCACCATGCTTCACTGATGAGGTGGTATGCTTAGGATCATGAGCAGTTCCTTTCCTTCTCCATACTCTTCTCTTCCCATCACTCTGGTACAAGTTGATCTTGGTCTCATCTGTCCATAGGATGTTGTTCCAGAACTGTGAAGGCTTTTTTAGATGTCGTTTGGCAAACTCTAATCTGGCCTTCCTGTTTTTGAGGCTCACCAATGGTTTACATCTTGTGGTGAACCCTCTGTATTCATTCTGGTGAAGTCTTCTCTTGATTGTTGACTTTGACACACATACACCTACCTCCTGGAGAGTGTTCTTGATCTGGCCAACTGTTGTGAAGGGTGTTTTCTTCACCAGGGAAAGAATTTTTCGGTCATCCACCACAGTTGTTTTCCGTGGTCTTTCGGGTCTTTTGGTGTTGCTGAGCTCACCGGTGCGTTCCTTCTTTTTAAGAATGTTCCAAACAGTTGTTTTGGCCACGCCTAATGTTTTTGCTATCTCTCTGATGGGTTTGTTTTGTTTTTTCAGCCTAATGATGGCTTGCTTCACTGATAGTGACAGCTCTTTGGATCTCATCTTGAGAGTTGAAAGCAACAGATTCCAAATGCAAATAGCACACTGGAAATGAACTCTGGACCTTTTATCTGCTCATTGTAATTGGAATAATGAGGGAATAAAACACAACTGGCCATGGAACAGCTGAGAAACCAATTGTCCCATTACTTTTGGTCCCTTAACAAGCAGGAGGCACATATGCAAACTGTTGTAATTCCTACACCGTTCACCTGATTTGGATGTAAATACCCTCAAATTAAAGCTGACAGTCGACAGTTAAATCACATCTTGTTAGTTTCATTTCAATTCCATTGTGGTGGTGTATAGAGCCAAAAATGTTAGAATTGTGTCGATGTCCCAATATTTATGGACCTGACTGTATATTTGTTTGTAGTTCTACAAATGTCAAATTGAAAACACATGATGATAGTATTAAGAATATTGCTGTGTTTCTCATACTCTGGAGTGACTCATGAAAACTGTAGGCTGGGAAACTGGAAGAAAAAAAATGTGCTGCTACTCTCAGCAGCCTGTGAAAATGGGAAAACAAAATATTGGTTGATGTGGATACTAGTTTAATTTCCTTTGCCTTTTTCATAACTACCCAACCTAGGGCTTACAGGCTCCCAAAGATGGGGCAGCTTGATCTTCAACAGTGATGCCACAAATTGACAAGTTTGTGGAATCTTGACAAATTCCAGCAGTCCAGATTGTGCAGGATACAGTAAAAATACATCATTCAAAGGCCACATACACTCACCAAACAACTGTGTTCCAGTCTTACATGCCTTTTGACATTCAGATCTGTGGCACCCAAAGGCGGACTGACCATTTGGAAACTCGGGCACTGCCCGAGGGCCCGGGGTCAGTAGGGGGCCCCATGAGATGCCCCTGGTACCTTTTTCATAGGCTTTTTTAAGTTTGGGCAAGGACACAGAGGCCCCATGATCCCCTATTGCCCGGGGGCCCCATGAGTTGTCAGTCTGCCCCTGGTACCACCATTAGGGGGAAAAGGCTATATATTGCTTTAAAACTGGTCTCCAGGCAGATACAAAAAATTAAAATTAAGACAATTGTGTAATTATTACAAAATAATAAAGTGTATCTTTAAATGCACTAGTGTGAGTACTGTTCTGTGATGACAAAATCTGGTAGGTATAGGGAATCTTGGCAGTTATCAGCAGTGCATATAGTGTAGGGTACAAAAGGAACTTAAAATGTATACGTCTACTATGATTGTGCTGTTTTATACCTGGATTGCCCTATTTTGTGTTCAACTGTAATTAATGCTGATGCACCTCTGCCTGCTTGCTCCACAAATCAATAAATAAAAAAAATAAAAAAAAATGTTTTAAAAATTAAAAGTCACATACACTCACCAATGCAGCCCTCACATATATTCCGTTCTATCAAAACATAAGCTGAGTGGGTACCTTTTAAGCTGCTCACACGTTATCACTTGAATGTGCAATTTCCTTTAGGTTTTACAGCAAATATGTAGCAAGAGAGCATACTTTATTGGATATTAATTGAATGCTTTATTTAGAAAGGTCCTTCACTACAAACGTAGTGGTAAATCTAGAGACAACACAACCAGACTGTATCATGTTTTAGGCAGGAAGGTTAGAAGCCCAAATAGTTTTCAGTTGTCATACTAGGTAAAGAAATCTGAACTAGTTTTTGTAAACTGTATTTTGACAGACTTCCTTCTTTGCTAAATGGAGAACCAAGAAGAGCAAGAGTACATCAGCTGTTAGAGCAAATTATACCCATGTTCTTGCTCTGAGCCAGTGTCTGAATAAGTATTTAAACACATACAAATATCCCACAAATTGGAAGTGGCAGTTGCCATATTCCCATCTTGAGAGATTCCCTTTCAATAAT